TTCTTTGGCCAACAGAGAGTCATTCAGTCTTTTAACTCCTTCTATTCTATTACAGATATTTTGCATGATCTGCACAACAAACTGTCAACTCACCATGAGGTCCAACTTCTAGCTGCTCATCATGAATCTTCCTCCTAATGCTACTATTAAAACAGACAACTACAATGTTTTCTGATCAACAAAATGCATACAGCCCAGATCATGTCCACATGGCACACTTACTGCACTCCTAATGGCATCCTCAGCCATTCCAAGCTGCTTTGCAAAGGCTGCCTTCTAAGCTGGAATCACTGTCCTTGAGGACACAGTTCTGTGCGCTGTAAGTTTACCATGTTGACATGGGCAGAGAGAAGAGTTCCTATGGCTCAGTTCATTAATAGGGAACAAGCAACATTGGTTAAATGCAGTTATTCAAACAGCAGCAGTCATTAACTTTGAAATTGTAAAGCAGGGTGTGCCAAAGCCTACACGCTTGTCAAGGAAAGCCGAAGCACACCCATAAGTCTCCAAAACAATGCTGAAGCTGGCTGCTACACAGTGCTAGAACATAGCACGTCCAAATATGTCTTGTCACAGAATCATCACTGCAATTATATCCATCAGGGGTGGCATGGGTGGCCTCTGCATATGGCACGTAGCAGATTGGGTAGGGAGCAGCAGATCAGGCAAGGGAGAGGAATCAGAGTGGCATTCAGGAAGGATGTGGGGCTTGCTTCAGGTCTTCCAGAAAGGTTGACCCCTGCTGACATGGTCAGATCTAGGACTTTGAAAATGGGGGTGCAGATAGTGTGCATCACCACATATGACATTTTCCTCCAGTTAAAGAGAAATTAGAAGCTTTACTAACATGCTAGGGGTTCAGTGCTATATTATTCAGTTTAAGCAAAAACAAATATAACTTTATTAGAATGTTCAGTGATTTGCTGAATTCAATATTATCTTTAAAAACACACGGAACTAGAGGCAAAAATGGTCAAAATAGTCAAAAGATACTGTTTCATTAGTCCTGTAGTCATTATAGTTAAATGTACATCTCTTATTCAAATTCGTAAAGTAAAGTCTAGTCTTCTTGAGAGTCTTGACAGCACTTCCAATACTTCACTGTCAATCATTTCTACACCTGAGTTAATGTTACTGCACCTGAGTTAAGTTTTTTAGTTTGAGCCTGAAACAATCGGCAGGGCTGTGAAATAGAAGAGACGTTACCAGGAATCAAAGGAGGGTGAAACTGCACCACTTCATCCCACCTGGATCCACCCTTGCCCACTGGTATAAGTGAAATACCACAAAATTACAGAATCCTTACACCGAGCTCCCAGTGTAGAGGACAAACCTTTTGAAAATGTTACCACAACTCCCTCAATGACACTTAAAGCTTTTTGAGACACTGAGCTGCTGCCTTTGCTGCCTGTTGGTCCTCTGATCACAGGTAGCATCAGCAATGGACGACCCCGCTCCACTTGAAGAGGACCCCCGTGATGAGACTCTATATGGACTGAGAGACTTTCTCCGAACCACTTCCTCCACCATTGCGGACCATTGTAATGGGTTTGTGTGTATCTATCTCCTTTCTCTCTCAGCGTCGTGAAC